AACCTTTTCAATGTTACAGAATTATACTTAACCTTATAAGTATAATCATATTTACTAATCTTTAGTAAATCATGACAAATCAATCTTTGTGGTGGACCTTGACCAGTGCACACCCAGTGTACCTAATTCCTTAGTCCTTCAATTGACTCACATATACATGTGACCAAAGAATTAGTCTTAATTTTTCAAAGATGAAAATTCTCATTCATCATACAATACAACTTGTATGATTCCAAGTTTCTGTCCAATTGAAACTTGGGTGATGAAAAACTTTCTTCATTTGGTAAATTCAGACACTACCACAAATGAAAGAATCAAATCCACTTTCCATATTGCTATTACTGGAAACATATAAGCAACAATTTTCCACAGATGCCATTGTAAGGATATTTTTTAAAATAAATAAAATTAAAACCCTTTTTTCTTTTATTTTAAAACTTTGCGGAAAAACTTATCCTTACAATCCACATGAAAACCTTGTTGTTATCTATTCACAAGCAATATATTATAACTCCTATGAAGTAGCTCAAGAATCCAATCTTCAAACTACGCGATAGAAATCCATCTACGCGATCAGATTCAGCATACTCTTTCTTTAAGTTTCTTTACCTTTTCTTTGATTCTTAAAACATCACCATGTGATCCAGTCACATCATGTATCAAGAATCTCAGAATAGAAACTTAGCAGAGTTAGATAGTGGACTTTACCTGAAGTAGAGTCAAACTTATCGACTTTAACATCCTTAGGTAAAATTATGGCAGCTTTGCAACCAATGCCCCTTTCTTTGGCAATATAAACATATGGACCCTTTGATAATGGTACACGGGACTATCACAGACTTAGTTTTTCTCTTTACCATTTGGTCAACCGAGTTGACTATGGCCGGTCCCTTTCCATTGGGAAGAGAATGCTTTTCTGGATTTCCTGTGTCACTATTGTCAATGTCCATCAAGTTTTGAGGAAGTTGATCTTAAGAAATAGATAAAATCATTAAGGGTCTTGTCATAGTCTTTTTCATAGGTGTTCCAAAAGAACTCACTATGTGACTTACAAAGTGATTGAACATCCAACTTTCACGAGACTTTGACACCCAACTCTCCCGGCTTATCAATATGTGACTACATCTCCAAGATGTGACCACACCAAGACATTTACTTGCCAATAGGGCTCGAGTGACTTTAAACTTTTTGAGAACTTGTGGGTGAGGGAGAATAATTGGAGGAGATAGAGGAAGTGAAGCATGATGTTGAAGAACGTCATCTTCAAGAGACTTGGGAAGATCATAAATGTCTAAACCAGACATGTTTTGGGAGATATTCAAGATAGTTGATTTAAAGTCCTTAATATGACACCCAATATGAAATATTAAGGCTAGGACCCAACACAATATTTTATAATTTTGAAGAGGGATGCCGTAATCCAAGCTATAAAATATTTGAAGGTAGGCGAATGACGATTCACCAATTTCCACCATGAAAAACGAAATAATTTATTAGGTTTTAATTGGATTTTTGAGATTCATTGAACTTTTCAATGGCATGTTTCAATCTCGAGTGTGCCCTCTCAAATTTTGTGACTGGGATGCCGAGGATCACAAAACAAGGTGTGAATAACCATACCAATTCACTTGGTATCCTTAATATTATCACCTAATCAATGTGCCGGTTAACCACACACGCTCCATTGATCTATGACAAACATTAAGTCACCCTTCGTGGTCCTTACTAGTCCAAGTTAGTGTGCCGGTTAACCACACACGCTCCACCAACGACTTGGTAAGGTACAATGTAACAGCCCGGAATTTCAGGTATTTTTATAATATTGTTTTTGGGGTGTTTTAGGAAGGGACTCGGCGAGTTGGAGCCAGACTC